GAAAAACTTCAGGTGGTGAAGCACCAAGGAGGAAATGATGGTGGAAACAATAATGGAAATGAGCCGGATGATCCCGATTTACCCAAGTAGGTGCTCCTTTAGAATATTTTTATATTCCTGGAATGATTATGTTATTTTATTCTAAATTGAAATGCGAAATTATTTTATGAATTATTCTTTGAAAAAAAAAAGAGATGATAGTTTGTATTTATTGTGTGAATTTGTATTCTTTAGGTGTTAAGAGATTGGTTATGTATATTTTTAGTTACTTAAACTTTGCAGTTCTTGTTAAAAGAGAAGGTAAACGTTTGTTTAATTTAATGACAGTTTATATGAATGAAAAAGAAAAATATTTATCCATAACATTTAAACTTTTACTTTCTTAATGTATTTGTCTGAAAACACATATGAGGTACTGGCTACAGATACTTAGTGCAAGCTAAAGGACAATCCAAATGGTGCAATATTATTGTCCATTTTGGCACAAGTTTAAAATTTAGCTGTGTCACTACTTAGAATGATGTAATTTTGTTTCAACCAAAGAGAGTTGATTTTTGTAATTCTTTTTACAGGATGGATGAAGGCAGGCAGCCGCTTTCGAGGAAGTTACCCATTCCTTCGAGCAAGATAAATCCATATAGAATGATAATCTTACTCCGTCTTGCAATTCTTGGCCTTTTTTTCCACTATAGAATTCTCCATCCGGTCAACAACGCATATGGATTGTGGTTAACATCGATAATATGTGAAATTTGGTTTGGCTTGTCGTGGATATTGGATCAGTTTCCTAAGTGGTATCCGATTGAGAGAGAAACATACCTTGATAGATTATCACTCAGGTAGCCACCTTCTCTCTCTCTCTATATGCGGCTTTTTGAAATGTCTGTTCTAAGCTAGTGTGATTTTTTTTTTTGGGGTTCAGGTATGAGAAAGAAGGGAAGCCATCTGAGTTGGCCGATCTAGACGTATTTGTTAGTACTGTTGATCCTCTTAAGGAACCTCCACTTATCACAGCAAACACAGTTCTGTCCATCCTCTCTGTAGATTATCCAGTTGACAAAGTTGCATGCTATGTCTCTGATGATGGTGCTGCAATGCTCACTTTTGAAGCTCTCTCAGAGACATCTGAGTTTGCAAGAAAGTGGGTTCCATTCTGCAAGAAGTACAGTATTGAACCCCGGGCCCCAGAGTGGTACTTTGCACAAAAAGTTGACTATTTGAGAGACAAAGTAGATCCGACATTTGTCAGGGAACGTCGAGCCATTAAGGTTTACCACTTCTTTCTTCATTTGTTTGTGTTACAGTCTGACAAGTTTCTGGTCTGGCATTTAGCTTCTTTGATAACCATCTTTCAGCTAAAAAAAGAAAAAAGAAAAGATGATTTTCATTAAAAAAAAAAAAATTGCTTAAATTATAGTGACAACCTTGCAATGATGCACACACTTTTGGTTGGTGCTGGATGATGACGTTTCTGATCTGGTGTTGTCATTTTGTTGGTATAGAGAGAGTATGAAGAGTTCAAAGTTAGGATAAATGGGTTGGTCGCCACAGCACAGAAAGTTCCCGAGGAGGGTTGGACGATGCAGGACGGGACTCCATGGCCTGGGAACAATGTCAGGGATCATCCTGGAATGATTCAGGTGAGGTGGTGTTCATTTAATCAATTCATGATGAAGAGCCAATCCTTATTGAGTATTTCTAATCTTTATCTTTTTTTGGCAGGTTTTCCTTGGGCAAAATGGTGTTCGTGATGTGGAAGGAAATGAATTACCACGTCTGGTTTATGTGTCCCGTGAAAAGAGACCAGGTTTTGATCATCACAAAAAAGCTGGAGCTATGAATTCTTTGGTATAGCTCTCTTGTTGTCTCTCCCTCTCCCTCTCTTTCCCCCTGGCTAATAAATCAAGGTACGGGTGTCAGCAATCATCTCAAATGCTCCTTACATACTGAATGTTGATTGTGATCACTATATAAACAACAGCAGAGCACTTCGTGAAGCAATGTGCTTCATGATGGACCCCACGTCAGGAAAGAAAATCTGTTACGTACAATTTCCTCAACGATTTGATGGGATTGATCGTCATGATAGATACTCAAATCGCAATGTTGTATTCTTTGATGTAAGCACCTTGTTTGTTTGTTTATTTTATTCAAAGAGTAGGTGAGAAGTTGCAAAAGTATGATTTTTTGTGAGAGAAGCTAATTCCTTTCATAATTTGAATACAGATCAATATGAAAGGTTTAGATGGTATTCAAGGACCCATATATGTTGGAACTGGTTGTGTCTTCCGAAGGCAGGCACTGTATGGATATGATGCTCCTACCAAGAAGAAACCACCAGGGAAGACTTGTAATTGTTTGCCAAAATGGTGCTGCTGGTGTTGTGGATCTAGAAAGAAGAACAAAAAAGCAAAGTCAAATGATAAAAAGAAAAAGAACAAGGATGCTTCAAAGCAGATACATGCACTAGAAAATATTCAGGAGGGAATTGAAGGTAAGAGGTGCTTTACAAATGGATAGTATAGTTGTATTCCTCCTTACAGATCAATCTTGAATTTCCTTGCTCAGGCTACTTGTGAATGCGGATTATTAATTTGATTTCTGTAAGTGATTGGTTGTGTTAAACACAGATGTTTATGATTTTACTGAAACTTTTTTACAGGAATAGACAATGAAAAGTCATCCCTAATACCCCAAATAAAATTTGAGAAAAAATTTGGACAGTCGCCAGTTTTCATCGCTTCTACACTCATGGAAGACGGTGGAGTTCCGAAGGGAACAAGTTCGGCATCACTCTTGAAAGAAGCCATCCATGTCATTAGTTGTGGCTATGAAGATAAAACAGAATGGGGGAAGGAGGTATGCTGCACCATTTATGGAGTTTGACTAAAGAATGACTCAAGCTCTTATGATTTGAAGCTTGGCATTTTTCTGTTTTCTAAATCTTCATTTTGTTCCAGGTTGGGTGGATATATGGCTCTGTTACAGAGGATATCCTAACGGGCTTCAAGATGCATTGCCATGGCTGGCGATCTGTGTATTGCATGCCCAAAAGGCCTGCATTCAAGGGTTCAGCCCCTATAAACTTATCTGATCGGCTTCACCAGGTGCTTCGGTGGGCGTTGGGATCTGTTGAAATATTATTGAGCAGGCACTGTCCAATTTGGTATGGATATGGGTGTGGTTTGAAATGGTTGGAGCGCTTTTCTTATATAAACTCGGTTGTCTATCCTTTGACATCTATCCCCTTGCTTGCCTACTGTTCCTTGCCAGCTGTCTGTCTCCTTACTGGGAAATTCATTGTCCCTGAGGTAATTTTCCCCTTTATTTTGGTCTGGACTATATATATATGTGTGTGTGTGTGTGTGTGTGTTAAAACTTTATTTTCCCTGGCCCTTTTTAGGAAATATATATTTTTTGAAAGGCCTAACTTGAGAGTGCTGTGGTTGCTGTATTTATTTCTGTTGCAATGCTTCCAGCTAATATTGGCTTTCTCCGATTAACAGATTAGCAACTATGCCAGTATCCTTTTCATGGCTCTCTTTTTATCCATCGCTGCAACTAGCATACTTGAGATGCAGTGGGGACATGTTGGCATACATGACTGGTGGAGGAATGAACAGTTCTGGGTCATTGGTGGTGCGTCATCACACTTTTTCGCACTCATCCAGGGTCTGCTCAAGGTTTTGGGCGGAGTTAACACAAACTTTACTGTCACATCTAAAGCAGCGGATGATGGAGAGTTTTCTGATCTATACCTCTTTAAGTGGACGTCACTTTTGATCCCTCCCATGACCTTATTGATCATAAACATTATTGGAGTCGTCGTTGGGATTTCTGATGCCATCAACAATGGTTACGACTCATGGGGTCCTCTCTTTGGTAGGTTGTTCTTTGCCATATGGGTCATTGTCCATCTTTACCCATTCCTAAAGGGTTTGGTGGGAAGACAGGAGAGACTCCCCACAATCATTGTGGTCTGGTCAATTCTTCTTGCATCGATCTTCTCTCTATTATGGGTCCGAATCAACCCATTTGTATCAAAAGGTGGTATCGTATTAGAAGTTTGCGGGCTGGATTGTGACTAAGGTCTCTACTTATACAGAAGGTTTAGATGGCGTGAGTTCTATAAAGTAGCTGTTTGGGCAAACAAAAAGAGATTGAGTTTGAATGCGCGATGTTGTTCAATCGAAGGTAAAATTGTTTCGAACAGTTCTATTTATAAGGATAAATCTTGTGGTAAAAGATGAGATGGGAAGAAAGAGCAATCCTGGGAGGTTGCATGTAGATACAAAGGGACTGGATCTGACACATTGATTGTTTTGCAAAGTGTTCATTAATTCTTTAATACATGGATTTTGTGGGTTGGAAGGGGATTTGTATTCAGGTCTGTCTGTAATCCCATGAGAAGATAAATTTAGTTTGATTCATAATTTATGTTCCCTTCTCAATAAGGGGGTTGGTTCATATATATTAGTGTCATAAAACCTTGTCCTTTTGTGCAGTATTTGAGAGGAAATAGCTGCAATCTTAGGGTGATGTATTTTTTGAGATGTCCAAATGTGTTTGCCAAACAAAGGCAACTCTTCTTGTATGTGTGCTTATTTTAGAACAACTCAACATTCAATAAATGTTTGATTTTCTTTCTTCTCTTTCTTTCTTCTGGCTTGTTTGGAGTTCTCACCTCTGATACTTCTGCCTATAAGTTTGACTTCAGCTTTTGCAATCACATTGATGGTGTGATGACATTGTAACGTGGCAAATTATTTTGACTAACTCAGAGGTTTTGAATGTCTGCTTTTTTCTCCCAGGAATCCTGTGGAATTAATTTCCTGGCTTATTAAGTAAAGCCTTAAAGTAAATCCACCTCTGAAACAACAAATTAGGGAGGAAATAGGCCTCATTCACCCCCAAGGATCCGGATCCTCTGTTCTGATATGCGAACCTCATTTTTAAAATTAACACATTTATATATTTGCATATAAACCCTAAAATTGCAATATACGCACATTAACAAACTTTACATATTTGCATTTGCAAACTTTTGTCGCTAGACATTCTCATATTTAAAATAAGCAATCCAATACAACACCATACTTACACTGGACCCCACAAAACTAACTGTACCATTAACAAGTTCATTTACAAGCAATACTGTAAATTACCAAAAGAAACTTGAAGATCTGCATGAGGTATGCTTCAGCTGAAAATGAAGGGTCACTTTAACTCGTATTTCCATGGCCAACACAAATAGGTCTACTTCTTTTGGAGATCCTTCAATGCCGGCCTAGGTTGCAAAGTTTTCACTGCTGGGTTGGAAACTTTGTCGCTCTTTGTGTTTCTGAAATTTTCCTTCATATCAACAGTATTGACAAAACTCTTTGGAGGACTAGGGACCAGACTATCTGTCTTGTTCTCCCTTGGCGCAAAAGAAATACTGATACTTTTGTCCGAATCTGCCTCCCAACTCCTTACCCAAGGTGATTCCAAATTGTCTGAGAAGAGATGAGCAAGAAGGTCAAAGAATCGGCTTGCATTTTCAAGTAAATCGTGCTTGTAAAAATACTTGGAGAACCAATAAAGAGAAAAAAATTGACGTTCAAGTGCAAGATATGTGTACCTTTTCTCAAAACTGAATCTGCAGATATGGGACATTGATCTGCAGTTACATTCTGTTCTGACACAATCTCACTCTCAACTGAAAATTTAGTATCATCAACATCAGGGTTCACATTACTTTGAGCTTGCATTAAGTAATTTGGATCACTGTTTGCTGCTGGCACATCAATTGGCGCATCAAAAGCACCAGGATTGCTGCCACTCATCTCAAAATCATCTACCGATTTCCCTGTACATGCCCAGACATTAGAATATTCAATATCACCAGCCTCATCAATATCCTCATGATCAACAAACACTTGGTTGATAGGCCTGATTCCTTTCTCCTTTGGTCCTTCATTTACACAGGTGTTCCCATCTGAAACAGGAGGATGAGTGGATTTCAGAAGTTCATCTGCCATTCTCTGCCCATGATCACTGTGTTGCTTGGCAACAACTTGAGCAATTCCCAGGTCATTTTCTATACCTTCCTTCACATGCTCACCAACTTCATTCATCAGACTGGCTTTACTCAGACCTGCATCTAATTTCTGAAATTCATCTCTTTCGATGTCCCCTACAATCAGTTCCATCTCAAAATCAGTCAATCCAAACAATTCAACATTTGACTCCAAGGCTTTGTTATTCCCCAAAACACATTATAACATTTGTCTTTACAGATCCTAATACTCTATACTTTTGGAGGCATGGATAAATAAAAAGTATAACATGGTATCATGATATCAAAGTTCGAAATCCTAAAACTATAACTTCCCAATCTATAGACTTCCACATGTTGGACTATTCAAGAAAAAATATAATAGCAAACTCTTGGAGTCGTAGACTCATAGTTAATTAAAAGTATTAGCAGTGAAGTCCAAAATTAAACACTCACCACAACTAGAAAAGTTGGTAACAGGAGAACCAACAGGGTAATGAATACCCATTTCCAGAGTAGATTTTAGCTCCACAACTTCCTCAGATTTATGCTCATGGTCAGTAAGTTGCCCTGCAGCAACTTGTGCAATACCAACAGCACTTTCTTTCCCTTTCTTCACATCCTCACTATCTTCAATCACTGAATCGACTTTCGACATGTCTGGATATGATTTTGAAAATCCATCTATTTTGTCGTCGCTGAAAAGTTTTTTTATCCCATAACTGCTAAATAAAGGTGAGGCAGCATTTAACTCCAAGGCTTTAGTTTCTGTTTAATCACAAAGATACAAAAACCGTTAGAGAAGGAACTGTTTTTAATAAAAAGTTTAAGTTGAATGAAGATTAATTTTTTTATTTTTGTTAAAAAATAACTACAAGATATATAGATACTCCTTGGGCTCAAACATGGATACTATTCTTCCCCCCACTCCCCACCCCAGGCCACGTGGCTTAGGAAATGAAGACAAATATACATAAGAGTTGAAAATTTTGGAAACAATTATTAACCTGCAGTTGCTTCTTCACCTTGATGCAATAAGCACTGACCATGACTAGAATCGGTAGCTGGAGAATCAGCAGAGCAATCGACACCCGTTTCAGGTTTAACCATAGAGATGGGATGCAAGTTTTCAAAACCGGGGGATTCCTTTGAGTCACCAGAAATGACATCCCTATCATTAAGATTAAGCAGATCAATTACTTCCTCAGTCTCTTGGGAGGTCCTCGTACGATTAATGCCAACATTGAGACTTTCAACAACCTTCACGCCTGAGACTCTTTCCGGCACTCCAAATTCATTGCCTTGTAATTCAAGATCACCACACTTTGCTGGATCTGGTTGGAGAACAGATTGTATAACTTCATTTGATGCTTTCTCTTGAACTTCACTGTCTACCGGCAACACCATATTTGAAGGACCTGGAGATTTGTTCTCATTTCCAAGCTGCATTTTTGCCAAAGCAAAATCAGAAAGAGACCCCGACTGTGTTTCGTCCACCAGAGCATCCATAGAACTTCCAATATCATTTGCTGCCACCGATTGCTTTTCCAGAATATCAACCTCATCAAGGGATAAATTCTGGTTTTGGCTTCCATGTAACAAGGCCTCATCTCTTTCACGAATTATTCCGCCTTCAACTGGTGATTTGAATTGATCTTTAAGTTGATCTCCTTCTGCAGATTAAATAATTGTTATTGTCTCATAACTTACTGGATGGAACACATATTTTTTTCTCGAAGTGCCAGAGAATATAACAAGGTACTTTCATTGCCTATCAAGTGATAAGAATAAACAAGAAGCATATGAACATACAAATTTCTCAACAAGATAACAAGTTTCCAACCTAAAAGAGAAACTGTACCCCTATTCTCATAAGTCCTCTCCTTTTCTTCCGCATTGTTTCTACCCTCACTTTCATTTAATCCACTTAGATCTCCTGCATTTGAGACAATATAAAAACGTAAGTATATACAGTTACTCAAATCAAAATCTCATTATAACCAGTAAAATCATATATTCAAGATTAATCATCGAAAGATACCAAGAGATGAAGAATCATTAAACATGAGACAGTGGCACCACCTGAATGCATTTGACGTTTGGCACAGAAGTTATCAGCTGATAGATTGACTTGTGTAATACTTTCAGTATCAACAATTCTAGCTGTGTGAGCCAAGCCAGGTTCGTTTTGTGACACTCTATTACTCACACCGGCGTTGCCCAAAATAATCCCATGATCACAGCAGCACAGATCACCCAACTCATCTCTGACCAAGAAATCATCAGTATTATCTGACTTAATTTCAGTTTTCGAACTCACATTTACAGAATTTATACCACCATCCAGTGTTCCAATATTATCATCCATATCAGCATTGCCATCCGTGTGCATACTATCAACTGAAGCAATGGAAGGATGTCTCTTCATCTCTAAAGATACTTCCTTATGTATGCCAGGATCACCATACTTCACTTGATCCAGTAGGAGGACAGATTGCATAACATTGTTTAGTGCTCTCTCTTGAACTTTACTGTCTACTGACACCACCATAGTTGAAGGATCTGGGGATTTGTTCTCATTTCCATGCCGCATTTTTGCCAAAGAAAAATCAGAAAGGGACCGCGACTCTGTTTCGTTCACCACGGCATCCATAGAACTTTCAGTGTTATTTGCTGCAACTGTGTGCTTTTCCAAAATATTGACCTCTTCGAAGTATAAATTCTGATTTTTGCTTCCATGTAACAAGGCCTGATTTCTTTCATGAATATTTCTGCCTTCAACTGGTGATTTGAATTTATCTTTCAGTTGATCTCCTTCTGCAGATTAAACAGTTATTATTATCTCATAACTTACTGGATGGAACACATACATTTTTTCTCACAGATGCAAGAGAATACCCTATCAAGTGATATGAATAAACAAGAAGCACATGAACATATAAACTTCTCAATACGACAAGTTTCCAACCTAAAAGAGGAATTGTACCTCTATCCTCATAGGTCATCTCCTTTTCTTTGGCATTGTTTTTTTTACCCTCAATCTCATTTAATCCACTTAGATTTCCTGCGTTTGAGAAAATTTGCTTACTTGAGTATATACAGTTACTTAAATCAGAATGTCAGGTTATAAGCAGTAAAATTATATATTCAAGATCAATAACCAAAATATACCAAGAGATGAAGAATCATTAAAAACATGACACAATGGCAGAACACCTGAATACATTTGAGGTTTGGCACAAGAGTTATCAGCACATAGTTTGACTTGTGTAATACTTTCAGTTCCAACTATTCCATCTGTGTCAGCCAAGCCAGGTATGCTTTGTGCCACGCTATTACTCACACCAGCATTGCCCAAAATAATGCCATGATCACAGCAACTCAGATCAGTCAGCTCATCTCTGACTAAGAAATCACCAATATTGTCTGAACTTATCTCAGTTTTTGAACTCACATTTAGAGAATTCATACCACCATCCAGTGTTCCAACATTATCATCCATATCAGCATTGCCATCCATGTGCATACTGTCATCTGAAGCAATGGAAGGATGTCTCTTCATCTCTGAAGTAACTTCTTTAAGAATGTTCTCATTTCTATGTTGCATTTTTGCCAAAGCACAATCAGAAAGAGATATTGCCTCTGTTTCAACGACGATGGCACCCATAGAACTTTCAATTTTACTTGCTGCCACTGTGTCGTCTTCCAGATAATCAACCTCATCAAAGGATAAATTTTGGTTTTTGCTTCCATATAACAAGGCCTCATCTATTTCACAAATACTTCCGCCTTCAACTGGTGATTTGAATTGATTTTCAAGTTGATCTCCTTCTGCAGATTAAATAATCATTAATATCTCATAACTTACCGGGTGGAATTCACATGTTTTTCTTAAAGACACCAGAGAACAACACAAGTTATTCATGTAGATAAATTAAATTTTCAATTATCACTTGTTTGCCACTGATTACTAGGAATGAGGAAGAGTATCCATCTCTTCTATTCACTTTACAGATAAACCAATATAAAGTAAAAGTTAAGAGTGTCAAACTTAGTTAACAGCATGGTTCTATACTGCCCAACCGAAAAAGTTAACAAGAGTCGGGACTAGTGTTGGTAATCTAGACCACAAACACAATTTAACTCAACCTCAGTCCGCAAAGTAAGGTCAAGAGCATTTAAAAAATGTCATGTAACATGGTACTATTAGGAGGAGAATTCATGGAACTAACCATTGCAAATAATGCTCAAACGAAATGAATCATGAATAACAAGATCTAACAGCTGAACTATCAAAAAAATAAAAATAAAAATTATCATATGAACATGAAAAATTAAACAAGGGAACGTCAAATACCTTGCTTTAGTAGTGAAGATTTGGGCGGGGTTACAGCAGTACCACTGGGTACAATTCTATCCAGATGGATATCTCCAACTGTCTCTTCGCTAGTTTCTTCTACTACTTCAGTGGATTTCGCAGTATTTCTGTCTGACTCGTTATTCTCATCAGGTTCAGTTAGATGATCCTCAACAACTGGCTCAACTAGTACTGGTTGATTAATCCCTCTAGCATCCATTTGAACTAAGTTATGATCCTCAGGAACACTAGCTTTGCTACCGTCTTCTAACTGGTCATCCACCACATCACTTCTTTGGTGTGACGTCTTAACAGTCCATGACTCATCTGTCTCCAGTCCTTTCAAGTCCAACAGGTTGGTACATTCACCTACATATTATAAGAGCACAATAAGCAGAGCACCAAAATTAATTAATACATCTATTTGACACCAAAACTTGAATAACTCCCGTACCTTCACAACCTGGTTGACAGGTAGGTGAGTGACCATCACCTAGACAGGTCAATCTGGAAAAACCGACATTGCTGAGCTTATCCAAACATTCTTCCGAGGTTTGTTCAACTGCAATAATATGACCACTATCACCTCTGTCCAAAGACGGATAGTAATTATCTTCCATATCACGTACAGTAGCGTTCTCTGGGACATTCAATCCACTATCTACCATAACATTTTCCATCACATTAGTCACGGGTTCCATTACATTCTGTGCGTTTTGGACTGTAAATATACCTTGTAAATTATTATACTTTGATAGCTGATCTTCCTTCAGATGAGCTGAAATGTCCATGGTTTTCTCTATGCTTGAATGTACAGCAGATACTTCAAAACAAACAGGCTGACCCATTGCAGCAGATTCCCACTTATTGCTTGATTTTTCAACAGCTTCTTTGCTGCAGCAAGAATCAGTAGCTAGAACAAAGAGAAGATACAAATATTAATCATGTGAAAAAATACAAAGTGATAGAGGTTTAATACTCTAAGCAGTGATTGAGCCGGACAAAAAAGGTTTAAACAAAGGGAATTTGTTGAAGGCCTCACAGTTGAAAACTACAGTGCCTGAGCCATAGCACTTTCTTGTAAAGTGATTGAACTGTTTCTATCACAGTCAGGGAGATCATGCACATACTTCCCTTTAGTGATAAGAATAAATAATGTGATTGATTACCAATAGCATTAAGTTCTACAAAGTAAATCCATCCAAACGATTTAACTGATGAATAATGAGATTAAACAGCTGAACCTATCAGCAATAAAAACATCACATAAACATGAAAATTAAAGAAGAAACCAAACAAGGGAAAATCAAATACCTTCCTTTACTAGTGAAGATTTGGACAGAGTTACAGCAGTATCACTGAGAACAATTCTACCCAGATGGATGACTCCATCTGTCTCTGCACTAGTTTCAGCAGTAGAACCTACATCAACCTGAACCGTTTCTTCTCTGTCACAAGAACTGAAAGCACATATTTCTTCTACTAATTCAGAGGACTTTGCATTATTGCTGTCTGACTCCTTATTTTCACCAAGTTCAGTTAGATGATCCTCAAGAACTTGTTCTACAAGTACTGGTTGATCAATCCCCCTAGCATCCAATTGAACTAAGTTTTGAACCTCAGTAACACTAACTTTGCTACCACCTTCTAACTGATCATCCACCACATCAATCCTTTGGTTTGAGGTTTTAACAGTTAATGACTCATCTGTTTCCAATCCATTTTTCAAGTCCAACAGGTTGGAACATTCACCTACAAGTTAGGCAAACACAATAAGCACCAAAAACTAATTAATACATCCATTTGACAGCAAAAGTGAATAACTCCCTTACCTTCACAGTCTGGTTGATAGGTAGGTGAGTGGCCATCACTTGGACAGGTAACTTTGGAAGAAACGACATTGCTGAACTTATCTGGACATTCTACTGGGTTTTGTTCAACTGCAATAGCATGGCCAGTATGACCTTTGTTCAAAGACAGATAAGAATGATAATCCATATCACATGCAGTAGTGTTATCCGGGATGCTATTTTCCATCTCGTTAGTCAGGGGTTCTGTCACATTCTGAGGCTTCTGCACTGTAGATATACCTTGAAACTTCATTGATTCTGAGATCTGATTGTCCTTCAGATGACCTGAAATGTCCATGGCCTTCTCCATGATAGAATATGCAGTAGATACTTCATCATAAACAGGCTGACCCCTTCCAGCAGATTCCCTCTTCTTGCTTGATCCCTTCCTCTGCTTGCTTGATCCTTTCCTCTGCTTGCTTGATCCCTTCCTCTGCTTGCTTGACCTTTCCAGACCTTTGCTGCAGAAAGAATCAGTATTGTTCTCATTTCCTGAAGCTTCTGGAATATTCAATCTAATATCTATACTCGGATTTTCTTCAAGGGGTGAATTGATTTTAGCAAACGAGACCTTTTCCTTTATAATTGGCATCCTAGATTCACTCTTTTTGTTCTTTCCAGCAGCTATACCAGTGCGTCCTGTAGGTGCAACCAAGCCACTTTTGGACAGAATACGTGAGGATCGTCTTTGTGGGCTTTTATTTAAAGAATCATGCACAATTAATGAACTTTCCTTCTCATATGTTGGCTCTTGTATTTGCTTCACAAGACCATCCTTTTTAACACCATTGGCAATTCCACACATGTCCCCAGTGGCTTCTGTTAGTATCTTTTCACAAGCATTCCGACTAGAACGCCTTAGAGATTGAGACACATTGGCACCCTTGTCAGGAACTGGTTGCTTCACTGTTCCAGCAGCTGTTGATTGCTTCACAGTTCCAGCAGCTTCACAAATTCTAAACTCCCTATCATCATGAGCAGCGGAGGAAAACAATGTAGTTTTGCGTCTGGATCTCCTTAAAGGACCATTGGGTAGGAGAGCAACATTTGCTTCCATTCTTTCTACACTTGACTCAACTTTGGAAGCTCTTTCCAAATCTATATTCCTTGGTCTTTTTCTAGTATCACCTTTCGCCAGTTCCTTGCCCTTCTGGAACACAGGAATTTTCTGCCCGTCCTTTGATGGTTCTTCAAGTTCACATTTTTCTTGGCCTGAAGGTTTTCCCATAAACTTCGTTTTAGACTTTTCGCTCCTACCAACAAGTTTGGTTTCTGCCAATGGCCCACATGCAGAGTCTCTGTCCCTGGCTAAATTTCGTTTTGACCTCCTCAGGGTCTTCCCAGGTACAACAGCTTCATTAGCAAGGTTGGCACCTTCCAGACTCCTCTTCAGAGGTACAGCAGACTTCCGCCTCAAATGCTTTCTATCTAGGCCCTTACAGGTTTCTTCAAGTTGAAGCACTTCTTGTCCCTTTTCCTGAACTTCGAGAATATCTGTTTTACTTTCAACTCCAGAACTATTCCCTCCAACCTGAGTCCGAGACCGTGTGATCCTACTACCACCAAGATCAGTTTTCCCCGATTTTTCACTCAGAACACTTGAGCCTTCAACCTTTGTGACATTTCCTTTACATTGCTTCTGGACTTTTTCAGGTTTAATACCTTTTTCTACAGGGACATTTTCTTCGTAAGTCTCAGTTGATAAAAGATCCCCATCACTACCTTTATTTTGTTTGGGTTTCTTTGAACCCCTTGGCACTAGATTCTTCCTCAAAACCAGTGAATTTCCACCATCACCACTCACCACCACCCTGCTTCTCAACTGCCTTTGAATCAACCCTCCATTCAAATTAGCATGTTCCGCATTACTATCCACTCTCTCAATAAACTCAACCTCCGGAGGAGGCTTATCACAGCTATCAACCTTTTTCACTCGATTTGTCAATTTCTTCTTCCCAGGAAGAGGTGAAAAAACTGCTTCTGCATTGCCTTCATCCATTTTTTGTGCTCTGGACCTTGTAACTCTACCTGGGGAGTCAATAATTTTGTGAGAGTGTTCGAGTCCTCTGGAAATTTCAAAAACCTGAACCTTCTTAACAACCATGGACTTCCTCTTTCTCCCCTGTTTTTTCTTTGGATTGTAATCACAATCCGAGTTTGAGTCATTATCCGTACCCACAAAGTAAAACGTTTGATTTTCTGGACTGAACTTTACTTTCTTCACCTTCTTTGTCTCAACCTCAGCATCAATTCCCCCTTCATTTTCTTCTAAATTTTTACAGACTGGCTCACTGAGTTTTTCATCTTCCTGTTTATTAGGGAAAAATAAAAGGAACAAAAAATATTACCAAAATAAACCAAAACCCCATTGCAAAGTACATAACAAAAGAGAGAAATTGGAACACAGCCAACTGATCCCGTACACATCATTTGCCCTAATTGGTTTAGGGGTTTCACTTTCTGGAAATAATAACATGAAACCCACAATTTTCTTTTCATCAATTTTATCAGGAACCAAAAAGAAAACAAAATTTAAATTTAAAGAAAAAAAAAGAAAAGAAGCAAGAACTATAAAGTTTATAAACACAGATAAAAAAACTTTCATTCTTCGGTGATGCTATTACCTTGAGAAGCAAAGTAAGCTTATGGGCCATTTCAGTGTTCCTTAAATTTGCAGGAATTCCGTGCTGTTTACAGAGTGATTGAAGTTGCTTCCTCTTCATCGCATAATAATCCATCTCTGTAATCAAAATTTTGAACAAAGAAAAGATCATAAATTATTGAAACCAACAAAACAACTAAAAATGTATTTAAAAAAAAAATTACAGTTCGAGAATCTTCCACTCACCTTTTTCGCGCCAACGCGAAGTTGGCTTGGCTATGGAGAGAACTCAGAAAATTCAGAACCTTCTGAGAGGGAGATTGTTGATTGTTGATTTACTTTCGATGAAATTAAATTCGATTTTTGCTTTCGATGTTCTAATTTTCTTTTCTTTCTCGAAAAATCGGTCTGATTTCCTTTTGCTTTTTTCTCAGTGCTTTTTTAAATTCAAACTGGATGAGTTTCCCGCTTTCCAAGACGGGTTTTATGTAACTCGCGATTTCAAAAGGGAAATGGATTCTGTACTTGCGGAATGAGCGACGAGGGAGACGATTGTAGGGGTATAATGGTAATTTTAAGGATAGGCTTAAGTCGGTGCGTGGTACAGGTGTCGACCAAGGAAAGCGAGTGTGTAACTTTTGTTCGCTGAGACAAAAAGTGAGTTGAATCTTGAGGGAGAAGTCAAGTGAGAAATGCAAATTAACGATATTTTTAAAGAGTGATGATTTCCCTACTCTTTTTTCTCATATTTTATCCACTTACACTCCTTTTTTATAACTAAAAAAGGAGTGTAAATGGATAAAATAGGAGTAGGGAAATCATTGCCCTTTTTAAATTGTATTTATTGTTAGTTTTATTTATATTTTCTCTCTTCCAAGTTCCCAAATCTCTTTTACCAAAAAAAAGTCCCTACATATATATCATTCTTGGAAAGAAACATAAAATTTACGAGATAATTTATCAATTAAGGCATACGCAGGTTACATCAGTTAGTGATGGTAGTGAATCTGTCCCGTTGCACTCAAGTTCAAATCTTTATATTAAATTAATTTATAGTAATTTAAATTTTAAAAAAATCAATTAAGTGGGACCTAAGACTTTCTTGAATTAAGCGGAGACAACTACCGCTCAACCAAATACACAACAAGCCACTTAAATGTCCTCCCTTGATTTCCTTATTTGATGTATATGCATTTCTCTCCTTTATATTTTTCCCTTGTAATTTTTTAATGCAACAATGAACCTTCTTGTTTAGATGTGCTTGTCCTCTCTCCCTCTATCCTCTTAGATCAGAAGATATATTCAAACCATTTTCTTATTTTTCTGATTGTTGCTAAGTTTATGAATTTCTATTGTTTCTACAGTAAAGATGTGTAAAATTGAGAAATCGTTTTACATGTGGTGGGAGATTCAAGTGTTTGGTAGGTAGTAAAGTTGCCGAGAAAATTAGTGAGAAAGTGATAAAAAAAAAATGAAAAGGGTAAAGTGATTTGTTTTAATTGTCTGAGTTATCTTTTTGGAACAAAATTCTTATCTATTTATTTATAATTGTTGCCATTCTTATTTAAATTGAATTACTAGTTGAAGTTCTCAATTGAAATTCTTGCATTAAAATATGGCTTAATTACTGTTTCACCCCTTAAATGGACACTCGGTCTTATTTTAACTCATGAAACTGAACTTTTCTTACTTAACCCCATAATATCTTAAACTAATTTAACTGTTTTCCAACAACTAAATTGACGCATAATTAGGCAAACTCACAATTAAAGCATAATAAGGCCAAATTAAACTGAGTTAGCTATATGGTTTGTTCTCACGTTCATCCAGCTAATTAATGCTGTCATATATTTGTGAGGAAGTTGAATTAATATACAAATTTGTTACTAGAACAAGAAATCTAATGCCCCTTTAATTGGAATGTAAAAAAAAGAAAAAGAAAAAGAAAAAGAAAAAAGAGAGTAAATTAATCTAAAAGAAATTGATGCAAATTGCTAATAATTATCATTAGTTGACAAAGTGGAATTCATCCGCAACTTTACATCACGATGAACCAATCTACCCCTTCCTCCATGAAAAAATTCAACGTCTAACACATCTAAACTTCTATAATCAACGATGGTAAATCTTCCTCCAAAAGCTGATTGAATCATGGCAGATGAAATCACCATCTTCATTTCCAAGCTCAACCTCAAACGCTTTCTCCTCCTTTCCCTAATTGCCTTTTCGTTTAGCTCTGGTACCACATAGGGCTTCTCAGCACATGCTGAGTGGCTAATGTTCAGCTTCACCGTCCTCTGCTTCAGGCTCCCAATCTCCATCGGTTTTCTCAACCCCGAGGCGCATGAAAATCCGTAGTTTCTGTAATGAAGGAGGGTTTCGAGGTCCGACAAGAGGATCCTGAGCTTGTTCTTGTGATAGTTTTGTATGGTGAGGGTGGCTTCCCATTTGGTGGTGTTCAATGGATGTGTGGATTTGGCATGGAAATTTGATGTTGTCAAAGAATGCAAAATCACTTGAAGGGATTTTGATTTTGGACAGTAGGTCTCAGACATGTATAGGACACCCACAAACAAGTACCCAAGAAACCCTAGAAAAGCAAGCACTGAAAGTACAATTTTTGTGATGGTTATTTCGGGTACTTGATCAATATAATTGGCTTGTGAAGAAACCCTTTCTGCATGAGGGAAGGATAACGAATGAATATTTCCCTCATAGTACTGCGTACTCATTTCAGAGTTCGAATCTCGCTCTTCTCCGACCTATTATGTCTCCTCCTTAATTCGTCACCGAGGGAAGAAAAAAAAAGGCCGGGAGGGGGGGAAATTAAGGAGGCCTACGCAAGTAGGCAATGGAAAGGAGAGAGTATATTCATATAAAGGTGGTTTCATTAGCTGTTTGCAGTTGGAAAGGTTTTGGGAGTTTGGAAAGTATTGTACCCAAAAACTAACTACTTGTGTATATTCTAAGATGTAATTGTCCATTGGTTGATCAGCAACTGAAGTTGTTTCTAATAAAACTAAAAACTAATTAATTGGATAAATGTGTAGTAAATCATCATTTACCCAAATCATGGTAAGTTTATAACTCACGGCTGGTACTTTGACTATAAATCTATGATCTAAAAAATTAAAAATAAAAGTTTGTTCTTTGTTTTGTTATTTGACAATGTATTCGACTCTCGGATCGTGCTGGCTAATTGTTTATAATTGCAAATTCATATCATACTCGTATCAACGCATGCACTAAACTAATTTTTGATGACATTTACATTATGGTACTGATTTTCCTACTCTTTTTTAATCCACTTACACTTTATTTTTTTAAAATTGTTTGTTCTCACTCCTCTTTTGTTCACTTACACTCCTTTTTATCTTATAGTAAAAAGTATTTAAAAAGACAAAAGGGAGTGTAGATGAATAAAAAGAGAGTGGGAAAATCACCACCCTTACATTATACAAAAAAATATAAAGATCGAACTTGATGCAAGCCTTCCCTTGGCTACAACTCAGGGCAGTCCTTGGGCTAGTTCCGCCCCTAATCTTGACAATATAGAGATATTTTAAACACCTTAGTTTTTCTTTAAGGCGACAAATTGAAATTGATGTATAAATGTGACATTTCTATAAAAATATCAATTAAAAATAAGGTGAGTGGGGAAATAAGATAACAAGTGAAAATAGCAGCACTCTTAATAGATAATTGGTTGATTTCATAAAATTTATTAATTGACCCTTCAAATTCATTTAATCTACAGCTGGGCCAAGCCCATATAATTAAAGAAACATTTTGGCCACAAAATAAATAAAGAAACCATGGCTGTGATTCGAGTATAAATACCCCAAAAGCACTGAAAAACCAGAGTCGTCACCTGTAGCTCGTTTCACTCCGCGCTTCTGGTCTTCCTCCATTGAAGCCATCCTCGCCCACCACTCCTCCGGTTCAACCCATCATCGCCATTTCCCCCATCTTCAGGCATAGCTCTCTCCCTTGTTTGGTTTCATTCGATCAAGTATTTCTTTTTTCTTTTTTCAAGGTTTTGATTATTTTTCCTCTCGTTAAGCCCTGATGCTCTCCCGCCTTTGATTTTTCAAATCAAAACTCTCTCTCTCTCTCTCTCTCTCTCTCTCTCTCTCTATTCTCTGTTATCTACGCGTTTTAGTTCGTCGTCAATTTAGGGTATTCTTCTCAGTTCAAATTTCGTTCTTTTCTTTAGCGGGCTAGCGTAATGTGGGTTTTCATTTTTGTATTTTTCGGATTTTATATGATTGATTCTATGGGTTTTTAGATTATTATGATGGTTTTACGATCTGGGTTGACTTTTTATTTTTTTTTAATTTTTTAATTTTTATAGATGGGCATCATATATAATTTGTATGCAGGGTCCGTATTTTGAATGCGAAAGGTGTTGCTTTGTTCTGTTAGATATTTAAAAGGTGATCACCAATTAGGGTTTTGAGGGACCTATCAATTTTGATGGGGTTTGTTTGTCTTGAAAGTTTATAGAAGAAAAAATTGTTCTTACTTGCTGTTTCCTGTGCTGTTTCGTTTAGTTTTCTGTTGTTTTGCCTTTAGTTTTCTGCTTCTTATTCTGAGCGTGTCTAATAATGTTTGAAAACAGGGTCTTCATTGCACATCCAATGTCTTTTGATCTCAACAACAAAAATTCATCAATTATTGGAAAATTTTACTTTATGAACCGAGGGAGGCTCTGGTGTTCGCGGAGGATCTTGTTCCGGCACTGGACTTGACCTAATTTTTTTTGGGAGTGGGCGTTGTTTATAATAATGCATTATTTTCCTCACATCTTGTGAGGAATTTTTACAGTGGTATTTAAGGCTATTGTTAGATATTTGAGACTTTACATTTGGATTTTGTGATGGGGAAACCACCGTTGCCTCCTGGTTTCCGGTTTTCTCCAACTGATGTAGAACTTGTACGGTATTATTTGAAGAGGAAGGTAATGGGGAAAAGGCTCCATTTTAACTTCATTGCAGAGGTCGACATTCACAAGTATGCTCCTTGGGATCTTCCAGGTATATGTCATTCTAATTTCTCTTATTTGTTTTCTTCACTGTCACTTACCTTGGTTTTCCTACTTTGTATCATATAGTTTCTGACTGTATTGTGCTTTTTAATTCTTCAGAAAAATCTGGCTGGCAAAGTGGAGATCTAAAATGGTACTTCTTTTGTCCGACAGCAAGGAAGTATCCAACTGGAGTTAGAGTGCAACGTGGCACCGAGTGTGGTTACTGGAAGTCCACGGGAAAGGATAGATCTGTTCTTTACAATAGTGAAGTTTCCGGGTGGAAAAAAATATTGATCTTTCATAAAGGTCGATCCCCAAAAGGAGAAAGAACAGATTGGGTTATGCACGAGTATAGGCTTGAAGCTAAGGACCTGGCTGATAGTGGTGTGCCACATGTAAATGACACTCTTCCTCTCACTATTTTGTATGCTTCTTTGTTTTCAATAAATTAGTCTGAAACTCTGCAGTGATTTAGTAATATACTCTC